GTAAAATTTTATTTATTTATTAAATAATTAATGGGTAGAGATAATTGCTGTGTTATCTTCTTCCTGTTCTTTTACTTCTTCTTTAACATTCGTTAAAAGGTAATCTTTAAAATTAACTTTCAAAGATTCTGGTGAAGGTGGACACCTAACCTGAACTCTGAAAAATTTTAGTACATTTGGAATATTTTATTAGACATACATTACTGAAATTTATACAAATTTGATACATTATTTTCAAATAAAAATATGTCTACCTTTGAATAAAGAGCTCTTCACGTTTCGGCCTCATTTTGTTAATGTTATTAAGAAGAGCATCAAAGTTTTCTTCTAGCTGTTTTAAATCCATGTCAAGCTAAAAAGCAAATAATAAACAGAATTTAAAAATATACATCTTGACAGATTTTACATGTCATAAATTATAAATTTACCAAGCCAAAAGTTGTAGTAATTGTACCATAGTCTTTGTGAATATCATGAGGTATTGCAGTATATTCAATTCCATCTCTAAATTTTAGAACAAGTTTAGTCATGTCATTACCCAAAGTACCTGAAATATTTAAATTAATAACATCCAAATTCAATTGTTACAAATAAAAATTTTTATATTTAAAAGATACACTTATTTACCTGTTTTCATATTTGGAAATTTCCTTTTCAACAAACCTCGAATTAATAATAAATCGGTTAAGATGTTTGCATGAGATAGAATATAATCATACTCTTTAAACACAAAGGCTCCATTCTATAATAAGTAAATTAATAAGCTTTATCTTTATCTAATGTTTTATAATATTATTTTATAATATTTTGACTTACTTGAATTTGTTTTATTAGTTCAATACCACCAACAAAATCAGCTCCAGCATTTCTAGCCTTTTCTTGTTCTTCCAAATTTTTACAGAAAACTAATATTTTATTTGGTGCCTCTTCATGTTTAAATGTATGTGGTGTATCAATAACTTTTGAAAATTTCTCAACAAATTTATTTTTCTTCTCACGCTGGTGTAAATATTTTAGTAAAGTATTTTTATTAAATAAGCACCACTAATTAATTTTAGTATTAATAAAACTATTTTATAAATACCAATTGACATTCCTCACCTTCATATCCAATTCTATAAATACATTAACAGATGCATTAGATTTATTGAACATAGTTGGATGATGTGTTTCCCGATGACATTGTATAGCTTCTTTGAAAGAAAAAATTGGCCTTTGATGATACTTTATTACCCATACATCATCAGTTGCTTTGTGCCTCCAACTGTCATCTATTGTACCAAGTGGAGAAACTGATTTCTTCACTCTATCATGAAATTATAAACTTACTTACTAGATTTATAATATACATTATTGTAGTCATCTTAATGTTATAAAATACATACTCTTTTTTACTCCATGTCTTTGCATCAAATCCTACTTTTTCAATCACTTTTTTAACTTTCTTCTTCCTAGCTTTTTCTCTTGTTCCTTTCCTAGCAGCATATTCTCGTGTTTGCATAAATATAGGTGAATATACATTATATCCAGCATTGCAATTATACGCAAAACGAAAATTATTTGTCAACCATCCTGTAAATATAAAATTAAAATTACATGGAAATAAAATAAATATTATAACTATGTCGTGTTTAAAAAGCTCGTGTCTTATCTCAAACATGCTTGTTGCAAATTACAAACAGTTGTACATGTACAAAAATTTTATACCATGCTTAGTGGCATGTATTATGTGTCTATTAATACAATCATGTTACTTCGAAAAAAATTTGCTGCTATTTTAGTAAAACATAACTTAAAACTAACTTACTCGTCAACATTGTCGTTACTTTATATGAAACAAGTATAAACAGGTTAAGAAAACTAGTTACTGAATTAAATACATCCTAGGGATATTGAAGTTTCACTAAAGAATCAAATTTTAAGATAAATATTTTTTAATGTTAGTATGTTTGAATTACCACATAAATTTTTTTATAATTATGGCGCAAATATATGCTGCGCAATAGAATTACATTTTTCTTAAATAACATTGAAATGTTTTCGTAGCTATTATAATTACAAAACCAAGTGAATTAGTTTCTTAAAGAATTAAGAAAATAGAACTTATAATATCAATTTATTTATAAATTCAGCTTCGATGGTAGAACAAAATTAGAAATAACTGACCTTAAATTCCGCGCTCGTGAAACAGAATTATTTAAACAATATGGCAGACGGAAGTAGACGTCATCGGTGCCAACTGCCAGCCAACTAGGCTCGTTGAAGCCGTGCTTTCTATAGGAGGAAAAGCATTTTTT